TCCACATCCAACGCCGATTAGCCCTCAAATACCCAACACTTCTAACATGGATCAGAGTACTTCAAGGAGGCGTTCTATATTTCGACCATGCATTGATCTACATCACGGACAAGTCAAACAAATCGTCGGAGGGACGCTTTCTGATTCTAATCCCGACGATCTCAAAACTAACTTTGTATCGACGTAAGTTTATCAAAACAATGTTATTGATGGAATTAATGACTTTGCATAAAATTATATCAGTAAAAGCTCGGCAGAATTCGCTACATTGTATAAGGAGCACGATCTGAGGGGTGGCCATATCATCAAACTCGGTCCGGGAAATGATGATGCCGCCAAAGCAGCATTAAAAGCATGGCCCGGTGCGTTCTTATTTCGTGAAGTGTTTAGACGCTCATCTATGTCTTTCAGATCGACTTCATCTAGGTGGAGGAATCTCTGAGGAGAATGCCTTAGAATGGATCCAAGAGGGAGCGGAGAAAGTAACTCAAATCGTACTCTCAGCTATAGAGTGTGGACTGAACATATATCAGGTCATTGTTACATCGTATCTTTTCCCATCTGGTCGGTTCAGCCTCGAACGATTACAGCGGCTATCTTCATTAGCCGGAAAAGAAAGATTGGTAGTGGATGTAAGGTAAACACTCGGAAAGTTCTTGGTTCTATACATGCTCAACTAGATATAGCTGTCGTAGACGTGGCGACGAATGGATAGTAGCCATGAATCGGTGGCAGGACCTGACGGATATGAAAGTTGATCGAGGTAGGCCCTCTAAACATAATCTAAGACCAGAAGACCCTAACAATGATTAGATTCTCTAGATCTCCTATCTACTTACTGCAGGTCAGTCCGTTGATGCTAGGGCAAACTGATCGTTGAGACCCCTGTAGTGAATTTCTCATTCATGCGGCTGACGTCGAAGCTCTCGCCTTACTCCACCAGGCGACAGTCCCCCACCTACCACTCGACACAGCCGTGTTCCGTCTAAACTCAGTGAAATCGCCGTTGGTACACCTCGTCATAGCCGAATCCCATCCAACATGGCCCCGGCCTCTCCTACCACACCCACAACATTCATCACCCAGACCAATGCAAAAGGGAAAGATGATGACTTTGCGGATGCCGACTTGATGCCGTACGATGACGATGGAAAGAAACCGAAAAAACGAGACACCTTCCAGCCGCCGCCACCAATTTCCACCCTCCAAGGTGGTTACAGAAAGTCGACTTATTCGGAAATGAGTGCCAGTCCTACGGTTGCCGGATCAGAGTACCACTTTGGGAAAGGAAAGGAGCGATCGTCGTATTATCCTCCTGGAAGGCAGAGTAGCGGAAACAGCGACAACCACAATCTGATGAGCCCAAGTCCTACAGAGACTAGCTTCCAGGACGCAAGGCAAAGCTATTACTCCAATCCTAACGCCAGTGTCGGTGCTCTCCCGCTTCCAAATGCCGCCACAATGCCCACCATACCCGCTTCAGCAGGCGTACCCGTCGTGGTAGAAGACTTCCCTGCCATCCCAGAAGAACCACACACTGCACCTGCTAGAACACACCAACAAGAAACTCAGCGAGCAGCGTTCATGGCCGCGCTTGAGGAGCCCCTCGCGCCACCACGTAGACCGCGTGGGCTCGGTGGACTGACACCTGGAGGAAATGAGGGTGGTCGAATGTCTGCCTACCAAAGACTTTCACCGACGCAAGATAGTTTCGACCCTGCTGAACTCAACCGCCACTCATACGCTGCCCCAACACCTCCAAATGGAGCCGGAATGCAAGGGGGAGCACACCGAAGCTCTTATGCTGGTGGTTCGCGAAGAGGACCCTTCGTATCCAATCCCTCACCTTTCAACCCTAACAATTCATCACAGTCTGGTCGAGGCAACGGGATGCAATAAAAACTGCGACGCTTCGCAGTAACTCGTATATCTATTAATCGCTGAGCGAAGCTGTCGATTGTCGTTTCAGACATGGACATTTGCAAGCAAATCTCCGTCCGTTCACTTCCCCCTCCCCTGTCACTCTCTCGCACTATCATATCATCTCTCATAAAGCATCCTCGCACCCACAGACTTTCCTATTTCATGTTGGCATTCTTAACGAAACCGGACTCTTATTCAGTTTAATTTGCGACCTCTGCATCATGGATCGTGGT